TGAATGTTTATGCTTGCCTGTTTCGATACCCTACTACTGTCACTACTTACACTATTCGTTTACAAAAGGTAAATTTTCCGCACTGAAGAGTTATTACGTCAGGGAGTTTGACTTCAGTGCGTCCATTACGAAAGAGATACAAACACAAAAAAGAAGGAGAGATAAGGACAACAGATGTTTGATTAGAAAGTGAAGCAGACCACACCAGAGCACCCGCCAACCATCAAGTTACTACTTGTATCTCGTCGGCCAGCTGATTATATTATGTCAGAAGGTTTTTTTTAATGTTATTTTTTGGTTGCAGATTCTTAATCTGCCTCACGTGCTCGAGAAATATTTTGTTGAAATTCAAATTCTGAATGTTTAGAAAAAAGCAAGAAAAGGTCAAATCTTTTAAACTGTCTAACCTTTCACCTAGTCATATCATAAATGTGGTAAATATAGTAAAACGCATGGCATAATATGCGAAAACATGGGGCCATTTCGAGCTCCTCTGCGCAATAGACAAAAACGAAACAATAAAACAAAACAATAAACAAGAGGAATACACTGCACTTCATCCTTTTGATACAAAGTCGTCGGCAACGGCCGTTTTTCAGGGGGGGGGGGGGCGTTAGGTGTTTGTTCCCGTTAGTTGTTGTTATTTGTTGTTGTTGTTGTTGTTGTTGTTGTTGTTGTTGTTGTTTTGGGGGGAGGGTGTAATATTAGTTTTGCAATTGCACCTTTTGGTTAATTTTAAAGACGTTTTGAGATGTGCTCAGTTTTGGTTGAAATATTAAAGCTTTGATAATATTTTTCAAACACAGTAGTCGATTCTCTTCATGACCTATAAACCCATTCTGCTCATTGCTTCTGCTCAATGTTTTTTAGAGGCGTAGAGAAAAGTTTCAGGGAGACAATTCTGTAACAGTCAAATTACCCCCCGGGGCAGTGCCACTGACTGTAGTGTCTTTAGGACATTCCCAAAGGTGGGACATTTCTCGTTCAAGTACAGTAGAATTGTAAATGAGCTGATTCATGTCACGCTCATAACTGTGCCTGATCTACAACAGGGAACTGCTGCTTTTTCTTTCTTAATCCTTACTATTATCATTTTCCTCTACTTCTTTTTTATGTTTGTCACTCTCTTGTGACCTGCCATTTCCCGGGTGCCTTGATAGTCGAAGCAGACTTTGTGCTGTTGAAGCTATAAAGGTGAGCAGAATAAGTCTGATTCCCTGTAAAGACTTCTCTGTTGACACCCACCTCTTGGCGCTCATGTGACCTTATGCAGTTGCGAGCGCCGTAAAACCTACTATTTAAAAAAATATAACAGTCAAATTACACTATGTAAGTCACGAGACCATTGTTTCTGACATTTTTGTGTTGTGTTTTTCTTAAGTACACCGATTTTTTTTTATCATCCGTTGTAAAGTCAGACTTAATAAAGTCAGCATCTGCTTAACTCGTGCCACGGATAATCAGCACGTGAGTTGATGGTTCTGGAAACGAACTAGTCCTTGGCTTACTGCTAAATGTACAATTATAACGTGTAGCTTGAATAACTACAGTTGCTTAAAGTTAGATCTTCCTGATTTTTTATTTTATCTTACATTGTTACGCAACTTAGCAAACGGCTGTCCCCAGAACTCCAGTACTGAGTGCTCTAGTTATTAAAAAGAGATAAGATCATAAGGAGATCCTTCTTCCTATAAAAACTTCATATCTTTCTCCCAGCTGTTTTGATTTCCATCTGAAAAAAAGTAAGGGAACTTGTTACCGTTGAAATGTCACAAATACACACAATTTTCAGATCCTATCAAAATATTAAGATTGTAAAGTACAGGAAGACGAGTAACCAAATATTTTTGTCCTACCTTTTATGAGATAACCAGAACTGTCCCGATTCAGATGTGGGGCACTGGGGCAGACAAATGAAAAGTAGGATAGTAGGAGTGTGTGTGCGTGGG